AGGAATGCCCGTATTTGAATCCCGGTTCTGGTACTGACTTGTCCTGAGGCCTCGCATGCATTTCTTTGCTCCCCTCTCAGTTCCCCCATCCGAAAAACTGGGTTAATGCCGTCCTCAGAAGCTGCCCCTTAAAGGCTCGCTAGTTGCTTTAGAATTGCTAACTCATGATGCCTCTGTACTTGGAACTGGCATAAGGAATACTGCACAAACCATCATCCTGGATGGAGACCAAGATCTTTGCAAGGGTTTTAAAAATTGAATATTTATGTGGATAATGAGAACATCCCAATTTTTAAAAATTTACAAAAATCAGGGTAATCCATCATTGCCCACTATAGCATTCCTTACATGGACCTGGCTGAGCATTTTGCTTCCAAACATATTTTGGTTGGAAAATTGCAAAATTGATGGTGGCAAAGGGTTGGTTTTGATGAGATTTCTGTTGTGCAAACACTTGGAGAGAAGTTGTTCCCAAACGTTTTGTTTCAAAATCTTCAAAAGGTACACTTCCCGTTTTCCAAGCAAAACGATTTTTATTTTTAAAAACTGTAACTTTATATTTACAAATGTTATAAAAAAAACATAAACACTAAAATGAAGCATTTCAAAATTCTTGTAATAGCATTTTAATTGCCCCGAATTTAGATTGTTTTAGCTAGTTGATTAAAATTGTTGTGATTTTTTTTTTTTTTTACTGTAATTTTGATGCTTTGGGCTGGGAAACAATTTTTTAAATCTAAAAAGCTTCATGGGATGGAAAACCACTTTGCTGCCTAGCTCAACTCTTGCATCTCCCTTAAACACGGCTGTAGCCAAAAGTAGGAGGATGGACTAGATGGCCCCCTGTTCTGATACAGTCAGGCAGTGCCTTTAAAATGACACATTTCTAAATAGTATTAATGTTTGCAAAGCACTCTGCAGACTACAGGGCCATGTTTTACAGCGTGCTGTCGGAAAGGTTGGCTGTAGGCAGATGGAGTCAGTACTAAGCGCTTATATAAGTTGCGTTGTTTTTTTGACCATGCTCTTGATCTTTGTCTGGTTCCCTTTACAACCATCTGTTTCCCAAGATGACATGTTGCAGCGTCATTTATGTGGAGAGTGAGGTCAAGAGGTTATGCAGATTTAACAACTCCACCTCCCCATTTATTCTCCAGCAGGAGCTTGTCTGGCACTCCACAGGCCTTTGGTTATTTGATCTAGGGCTTTTAGTTAAACATGGACATGCCCTAATTTTTAACAACTGCAGTCTCCTGTACTCTAGAGGAAGGTGGGGCTGATAGTATTGAAACTGTAACACTAGGCAAGGCTTTACTAGCCAAGATGGAAATCCGGTGCAGTCATCTACAGTAGCCCTAGGGCGACATGCTAGCTGATAGGCAGATGAAGGATTTCTCTCCGTCTGTGATGGAGGCTCCTTGAGGTTCTTGCATCACCCGCAGTGCTGCTTTCACGTGGCGGAGGTACTATCTGACGACCGTGAGAGCTGGTGCGTGAAATGTAGAGTTACGAAAAAGTCAACGGCTGGTGAGACCCTGTGGCCTGAGGGGGAAAAAAATGAGAAGAGAGTGGCAGGGTGAGAGATGAAGATGCAACAAACTTTTGTGATTGATTAGCATATAAACAGTGCGATCCTATGCTTGCCATATGTAGTCACTGATAAATTACTTCACAGACACGTCCCATGGGGCCTGTGGGGAGCTGCCGGCCGATAACGGCTAGGTAGGCGGCTAGTAGGGATTCCTGGCTTCTATTTTGTTTTCCTGACTTGTATATACAAAAACACCCCCTTCCTCCCTGGAAACCCGGGTAAGATGAAAGTAGCCAGTAATGTGGATGCTAACTTGCAAAATGGTGAAATCTAGCCTCTGGACTCTCATCAGCCCTTCACGCTGCTTCTGATGGGCCCAGCCACATGCTGCTCCTTGCTTTCAGCTGTGCAGCCCTGGGTTACTCTATGAGGGAATGGCTTTCCTGAGCCTCTGCTTCAAGTACCTATTATGCCACAGTTTTGACTTGTAACCGGCTTGGTTCAGCTAGCTAGGGCCTGTTGCTTTGAGGGTAAAGGTTGTGGGTTCAGTCCTTGCTGCTGCTGTCTATACAGGCACCCGTGTTTCAGTGTAGTCTCTTTTGGTTGGTATAAAGATCTGGATGCTCTGCTTTCCTTTGCATCAGGCACTGCATGTTTTCTGCTCTGCTTTCTGTTTGGCTTGGAAAGGCCATTCTCCTTCCCCCAAGCTAACTCTTCTGCCCAGACAAACAGCCTCGGTGACTTGCATTTTTTTTTTGCAGCGTTTTATTTGAGAAGTTGGGAGCTTGTGATTGATCTTGCTCACGTCTATATGTGTAACAGGTGTCACTTTCAGTGTAGTACAGGGAAATCCCAAAATAGCTTAGGCTCTGCAAAGGGAAAAGAAAGATTGGTTATTTCAGCTTTGGCTGCGCTGAAAAACTCAAGAGCCCCCAGCCGACAGCGAAATCCAGAATTGAAATGGCAAGTGTGTGTCTTTTGTTGTGGTCTCCCATACTGCTTTCTTTCCCTTACAGACTTTCTCTCGTGCCGACACAAACTGACGTAGAAATTCTTATACGCCTGGTGGTTTTTCGCTGGCGTCTTCCCCTACCTTTACTCCTCCCCTAGGTTTCCCATTCTCTGGGATGAATAATTTGATACCTTCCCTTGCCTAGCAGTCAAGTTAGTTATGTCACGCTGAAGTTAACCCGAGGAGCTGTTCCCCTCTGCAACGTTTTCCTTGGCTAGTGCAGGCTCACGCGCGCATGCTAGGTGAAAGGATTTACCTGTTTATAAGAATTCCTGGCCTGCAATTAATATTATCAGTGAACCAAGCAATGCTATTCTGAGTCTCAAAATCCCCCGGCTGGGCAGAAGCTATATCTTCTCCTTGTATCTTAACATCTGGGTGGATGGAGTAGGAGGGGAGCCTATTGCTTTCTGGTATTTACAGCAACTGCTTTGCACGGGGTGTCGCTCTCGGGCCTGCTTGGGGAGTGCGTTGCCTTGCGCGGGGAGTTGCATTGGTCCTACAGGCCAATGCAAACAGATCCTGCAGCCGTGGCAGGAGAGGATCCGGCTTTCAGATCTAGAGGGCCGAGGGTTGATTGCCATTGATGAGCTGTCTGGGGTGTCGTGTTACATCTCTGGTTTGCAAATGCTCACAGCTGGCCTCAGCATGGCTTGTGTGAGGCCCAATTGTGCTTCAAGTTGAGCACGTCCATGAGCCTTGGCAGGCTCTGGGCCTGCGTACGCTGCTTCCCAAAAATCCAGCACGTTGCTGAAAGAGTTAACACAATGCATTAACATCCTGTTGGCACGTATGTTCTTCTTTTTCTTTCAGGCCTGGGAGACGATTTGCTTTGCTTTTAAAAACAAAAAACCACCACAAAGTCGGACGTGGTTTCAGCTGCACTTGCTCAAGATTTGTACTGCCAACGACCGACCCTAAAGGAGCGAACCGAGCCGGCGTGAGTAAGCAGCAGAGGGAACGATGCAAGCGTGCGAGGCTTGGAAGCGGAGCAGAGACACGGAGGTGAGGAACAGAGCGAAGCAAACGAAAGGTGCAGAGTCCAGCAGTGACTTTCCTTCTCAGCCTGGCACTGTGGGCACCGACTCTCTTCTAGAAGAGCTGCAATTGCGCTGCTATAACACCAGGAGCAGCCTGGAGAATTTTGAGCTGCGTCACAGAGCTCGGAGAGAGAGAGAGCAAGCTCCGTCGATAGGTCTACTAGCAACAGCCCTGCTGCAGCAAGAGAAGAGAGAGAGAGACAGCAAAAGAGAGAGAGGGATCCAGAAACAGAAGTCATAACACCATCAGGGACCGGGGCTCCTGGCACCGTCCGGCGACGTTTTTCAAGAATATATTCGGTCGGAATCGATACCGGAGGGGTTCGCCCATTGACGATGCTGGAGACACGACGCACTTAATCCCGCGGGGAGGGAGGGTGGGCAGACGCGAGAAGGGTTAACGGGAGGAAAATTCTGGAACGTTCTCTTCTGCGGTGCTGCACAGCGAGCGAGCAGAGGGCTGAGGACTGCGCAGATGTTGAAGGGGCAGAGCTCCTCGGCTCGGGGTCCATCTTCCCCACGTACGTACCTTTTGATCGGGATGGGGCTCGCGCCGTGCCGGATTGCTCTTTATTGACTTATTTATTTGCAGGTTTCCCTTCTTCACCCCCCACCCCACC